ATTTAAACGTCAAAAATATTTCTGACAAAGATTGCAAAGCCTACTAAGATTTTTTCATTCAAAATTCATTCCAACTTTTGATCGACAACCCCGTTGTTTAACGGGCAGTGTTTGCTTTACTATTTTTTTTCTCAAAAATTAGTCGTTTTTGGAAAAATTTCAGAGAGACAAAAAAGTTTTAGAATACTTTCATCTATCTATGTAAAATTTTTCTAATGTATTTATCATCTGCATAAAAAAAATTTTAGCAAAAATGCAAAGGGAGTGGTTACGTTTAGTAGTTTAGAACGGTAGGTTGAAAGTACATAAGTATAGGGTCAAAACGTGCCCTATTATGAGTTAAACATATTCCCCAAATTTCATTTTCCGCCATTTTTGAATGGATCATGATTCATACCGGGTGTAACAGGATCATGGTACACCCCCCGTATCTCCTTTAGTTTTGAAGATAATTGATTCAAATTTGGAACATGCTATACACATGATAAGAGAGACTTTTTGACATAGAATTAATTTTGTTTTCAATTCCGATTTCGCCGGAAGTGACACTAACTTTAGATTTTTAAATGGAACACCCTGTATATTATTACATTTTTGAAATTTGAATAATTTTCTGAATCCAATGGTATCCCATAAGTGACATTTCAAACGTCAATATTTTTTAGAATTTAAAGTTTAATTTTCCATTTAAGTGTGCCATGAGAATGCCATGAATGCTAGAAAAATTTAAATTCCGCCAAAAATACCAAATTACGTGATTTATGTGCAAATAAAGTTCATCAACATGACGGAATTTAGATTTTTCTAGCATTAGACGAATTAATTAGAATAAAACGGAACTCTCATGGCACACTTAAACTGAAAATTAAACAAAATTCTAAAAAATATTGACGTTTGAAATGAGATCAGATTTAAAAAATGTAATAATATACAGGATGTTCCATTTAAAAATCTAAAGTTAGTGTCACTTCCGGCGAAACCGGAATTGAAAAAAAAATTAATTCTATGTCAAAAAGTGTCATGTGTATAGGATGTCCCAAATTTGAATCAATTATCTTCAAAACTAAAGGACATACGGGGGGTGTACCACGATCCTGTTACACCCGGTATATCACTAAAATGTAGAATAGTTTATAGAACTAAAAATAGTTTTCGCTTCACTGTCAAGATCGAGTTGATTTTCAAAATATGAAAATATACTTAAAATTCTCTCCACACCAACCAGAGTTTAATTCCCCATCCTTAAAATAAAACTCAAAAAATTTTAGGTCATTATACCTATTGTAACATCTATCCTGGGACACACTGTGTATCATCTACAGGGTGTATCTGAATGACTGCAACAAACTTCAAGGGGTGATTCTTTAGTGCATTTTAAGGGTACTTTGATATATGAACCATGGGCGATTTCGGCTCCCCTAAGGAGCTACACCCCTCCAAAAATGGCGGAAAATTTTGGTTTAATTTCTTTTTCTCAAAAACCATAAACGCTAGGAAAATGAAATTTGGGGAATATGTTTAACTCATAATAGGGCACGTTTTGACCCTATTTGTACTTTCAACCTACCCTTCTAAACTACTAAACGTAACCACCCCCTTTACATTTTTGCTAAAATTTTTTTTATGCAGATGATAAATACATTAGAAAAATTTTACATGGGTAGATGAAAGTATCCTAAAACTTTTTTGTCTCTCTAAAAATTTTCCAAAAACGACTAATAAGGGTAAAATATCCGAACACAATTTTTAAACACGTCGGGCGTTTGAAAGTTATTGAAAATCCAGGATTTGAATCTGAACGTACTCTAACGGTAAATAATAGTCAGGGAAACCCAATTTTATGTCGACGTTGCACCACGTAAGTTTGTTCGCATATCTTGTGTATGAAGTTGTGTGAAGCATTCACTGCATTGAAGATAGTAATGTCATAGTACAAAATGCAGCTGGAAAGTAATCTGTGGGAAGTAAGGGAAGTCTTCATATGAGTGTTTGCAGAAAAAAATTTACAAATAGAGAGCATAGTGCGATATAGGTTAAAGATCTTAATTTAGTCGTGATGATGTGTCTTAGCCCTGTGGTTGGGTTGCGTTAGGTTAGGTTCAATCTGCAAACGAAATAAAAGATTAAGTCTGTTATATACATATATACAGGATCGCGGATATGTATGGAAACGGCCGGTTATCTCCTAAAGTAAGATAGCTAGCGAAAAATGCTAAGATTCAAAAGTTTTAGTAATTTTTTAAAGTCTATTACAAAAAAGTACCTACAAATAAAGTATACAGGGTCAGTTAAAAAGTAATGACGAAACAAAGTTACGTTTTCTTTAATGGAACACCCTGTATATTGTTCCATATTTCAGTTCACCTCGAAATTCTGAACAAAATTTTCTTTATATATACAGGGCCCATTATGTATGGAATATAGTATATATCTCGGTACATGTTGACTTTATAAACAAACTTTTTATACAAAAGTTGTTTAATATTTTATTTGTCATAATAAGACTCCATTCAATTGCTTTTAATTTAGAAAACAAATGAGTAACGAATAACACTTGATTTAAAAAATATATAGCAATGTATCCTTTCATTAGGCTCATTTGATAGAGATTACTTTTCTCTTTACGATGACGTAAAATTTTTGCATCAGAAAATTTTTGAAAAAATGTTATTTAGTTTATTAATAAAAATTTGGTACAGTGCCATTTAAAAAACTTCAAGTGTTATTCGTTGCTCATTTGTTTTTTGAAGTAAAAACAATTGATGCTGTCTTATTATGGCAAATAAAGTATTAAACAACTTTTTTATATAGTTGATACTTACCAAGATATATACTATATTCCATACATAATGGGCACCCTATATATGTATACAGCGTGCCCCAGAGGTATAATAACTTAAAAGTTTTTAAATTTTATTTTAAGGTTGAGGAATTAAGCCCTGCTTGGCGTAAAGAGAATTTTAAGAATATTTTCATATTTTGAAAACAAAGTCGGCCTTGACAGTAAATCAAAAACTATTTTTAGTTTAGGTAAAGTAATCTTTTCGTTCATTATACGGAAAAAGTTTATTAAAAAAAGTTGTTCAAAATGAGAAATTATGGTCCTACACGAAATTTCAGAAGGATCTATCTACTTTGGTTGAATCATCACATTTTAGTTGAACTAACATAAATATTGTATAATTTTATTATATTTATTAAAAGTCGTTTATTCAACATAACATCCACCTTTTGTTGCACACTTTTCTATACAATGCCTAAATTCTCTAAAGCTAATTTTCTATTGTTGTTATATTTCTTTTTCTCTCTCTTAATGTTAACAACGCATCCCGAAGTAAGAAATTTCTTAATTATTCGCATATCAATCATACGTGTAAGGTTGGTATTAGGAAATCTCTCGTTAAGCTGCTGGTATACTTTGCCCAAGCCCATAACACTGCACGATGTAAATTTTTTGTTCTAATGTTAACAATGCAAGAGTAATTGAAATGTGAACTAAAACTGAGATATAATACATTTTTTTATGGCATTTTTCATTGTTGTTTTTCTTCACTCTAATCTAAAATATGGTGGTTTAATCAATGTAGGTGAAATTTTGCAGTATCATAAACAAAAAGCTCATTGTCAAGGCCGAGTTGATTTTCAAAATATGAAAATATACTTAAAATTCTCTCCACACCAAATTCAAAAAATTTTAGGTCATTATACCTATTGTAACATCTATCCTGGGACACACTGTGTATCATCTATACACATTCATCTAATCTTTATTTCCTTAAATAAATTATTAATTGAAATCTTAACATTATCTCGTAACGCTATAACATAATAAAACTATTTATTTTATACTTGCTAATTTTGCTTGTAGTTGTCTACTTATCGTAGATGTAATCGTGCGGATTTACATAATAATAATTAAGGTTGAGTTGAATGAATGATTAATGAATAACAATAGTTAAAAAAGAATAAATGATTTTAGTAAAAATAATTTTTTATCTTGTATCTATGTATAGGTATAATACGGTTGGATGTAAGATTTAGTAAGTGAGATTGGTGTATAAAGGAGTTAGAACACAAGTGATAGGTTCGGTTGAGGTTGTGTAGGGCATAGTTCGTGGTGAGTGAACCGATGCGGTGGCGTCCCCGGACGATCATTTATGCCGGTAATTGACACATCAATGGCGCTAGCTCAGCACTAAATAGGGCCGGGGCTTTTTCCCAGCCATCTGCGTCCGGAGAACTCTCCTCGGTTGCGCATAATGAAGACACAGTTTATTTGCGAGAACGCCGACTCTCGTCCTCCTCCTCGGTGGGCCGCGATCCGTTCTTGTCATTTGCATTCGGCGGGACGACGACGCGGCTAACGAACAAAGGGTGATTCATGGGGCGGCCGAAAAGTCCAAAATCGGGGGCCGAAACGAGTGAAATACCCACGGCCCTTGCGTCCTCGACGTCGTCGTCTGTCGGCAACGCGGGCAGATTTACGGCGCCCGATAGAAATCGGCGCGTTTCGAAGGACCTCGCGGACGACTACGACGACGACAGCGGCTGACGTCCGTCCCCCGGTCCGTGACTTGTATATACAGCTCCAAATAAGCAAGGAGTCGTGAATGCCCGTGTTCTGGATGGGCTGCGGATCGCGACGGTTGATCGACAACAACGCGAACGGGCCGTGTTCGTGCATCCATGCGCATAGGTGACTACAAGAACCTCTATACCCAATAACGACTTCCACCTTTTCACTACCTTTTACTTACTTACCATCGAATCGATGGTAACAAAAAAACGGTACATTTTAAAGACGATTTTCAACCGAGATTACGATTGACAAAGTTACAACGACAAAAATACCATCGTTAAACCAAACCAACTTTCTTCATCGTTTATCTTAAAAAAAATTTTTAATTTTTTTCTTTTTTCAAAAATAAATACGAAAATATGTCCCCTTTTAAAACAAACAGTAAAGTGTTAATGCTTCCGTTTCTGAATGCCACCCGCATTTGTAACAGGAAAATTCAAACCCATTACCATTGACGTGCTAAAACGTGGTTCCAATATTGACTCAGTCGTTACGACTAATGTATTCGCCCTAATATAACGAGGTAACAAGCAAGCACAAAACCAACCAAAGGACGACGTGATGTCGCAGTCACGAAATTCTCTCTACTTCTGTTTTCATTTATTCTCGATGTCCGCAAAACTAAGGGGGACTTGAAAAAAAATCATACAAAAACGGACGGGGATTAATTCATTTTTGCCGTCGTCGACTTCTTCGTTCTCCTCCTTGATTGGCGCGTTTTCGTTCCCGCAAATTGTCAGCGGGTTGGCAACAACTGGTTTCAGCCCGTAAAAATTTCTAGATAATTGATCTCGATATTAGAAACGCAAATACGCGAGGCGAGTTTTCCATTAAAACCGGGCGGCCTTTTTTTTGATCGACTCTCGTCTTGTTTTACCCTCTTTTGCTACTTCTCTTCGCGAAGGAGGCCGGCAAACCATCGTCGTCGCCTATTAACAAAACGGGATGCCGCGGCTATCGGCTTACGCAAGTTTAATTGGTTTTTCCATAAGAGTACTGCGGTCAAAGAGTAATTGTCTACGACGAAGACGACAACGTACACTTGACCACCATCTAAAAAAAAACGTTCACCAAATCGTATACAATAAACCTCAAAAAAAATATATAAAATTAAAATTGTATAAGTAGTTTTGTAATTATCGAAGAATTTTAAAGAAAAAATAAATCAAGTTTCCTCCAAAAATTGGACATTAAAGACATTAAAGTAAGCGATAACACGACGAAAAGATATTAACCATAATATACTATAAAAGTACACCAGTCCGGGGTCGTAATGAGTCCATATAAAAACGACCATCATTTACCTACATTATTCTAAATTCTTGTTATTATAATGCGATTTGGACTCGGGTTTAAGGAGGGTTAATAGCAGATTCAAGAATCTCACGAAAATATGTTAATAGATATTTTTATTTAGAATATTTAAAAAAAATCATCTTAAAAAAAGTTTCCAAAAGAAACCAAATTTATTACTTTTAATTTAGGTTGTTTGATATTTTTAAAAAACAAAACCATTTCTTGATATCTCAAATAGTTTTTGAAAAATTATAAGTTTAAAGTTAACCTAAAAATCCAACAATTTGAATTGTCACGAAACGAAATTTGGCACTCCCAAACAAAATTATTCAACGATTTGAAAAATTGAAGCCGTTTTTAGATATCTCAATTAGATTTTGAGAAAGTACGTTCCAAAGTTAACCTAAGAAAACTCAGCCATTTTGATACATTCTTTTTAAGTCCCAATCGTGTTTAAATAGATCAATAATATCGGGAATTTCATATAACTCGCAATATACAGGGTGAGTCAGAAATCCGAATACCGGAGATACATGGTGGGCAATCTCACTACTATAAAAATGTAGACCCAGGTTTTAGTACCCTCACAATCCATTGGATGTCGTTGTAGACTGAATTTGTAGCAATCTGTATTATACAAACAAAGCGCTTGTAACCATAGAAAAATTTATATGTCACGTCAAACCCGTCAAACTCAAAGGTGACAGCAAACGTCACATTTTTGTTTTGTCGTTTGGTGTGATAACTGGTGATAACCCAGTGTATATTCTTTCTTACTTTCCTTTGGCTTAGTGTTTTACATCCTTTAGTTAAGTGTTTAAATAAGTTAGGGCCACGTTTACCACCTCTTCATAAGTTTATCCGATAGATAAATTGGCGCTCTTAAATGAGAGCAATATACATATATTATATTTAAAATTATGAATTTTATCTTGGAAAAACTATAAATTCATATTTTATTGCATTTATTTGTAAAATGTACCTGACCTCTTCAAAATAAAGTATTGGTATAAACCGGTATAGAAATACCTATATTTAAATTTCGCGCTTTAACCTAATTAGTTCCCTCACAATCCCCTTGGGAGCGCTCAATGTACCAAAAAATAGTAGGGAGATGACCTTCTATATACATAATATATATAAATTTTTCTATGCGGAGATACTAGACATCAAAATATGACGATTTAACATAACATCTCTTATACAAATATCGATGATTTTCAAAGCACAGGGTGTTGAAAGATAAATTCTTATTTCGAAATTTCTTGATAATTTTGAAGAATTTTGTACTATTAACATAAAATTTGGTAGTTATATATTTTCGAGCATGAGAAATACGAATTTGAAATTTGTTTTGTGATTACTCGTAGAGGGCGCTAGATACACACTGCACGTTTGAGATATCAAGTCATGATTAGTTTGTCAGTTGAGGTATGGTGAATTAGAACTAGAAATCTGACGGAGCTTTCAATTCTATACAAAAAAGGTAGTCTTGCTTACATTGACTAAGTCTACTGGTGTCCAAGTTATCTGCTTTTAATTGTTTCAAAGTAATTTTAAGGTTAACATTTAAAATCAATAACACACAGTAACTAATAATAATAATCGATAACAATAGCAATTAATTAATAACAATACAATATTGTGATCATATTCAAAAATCCATTGGATTTAAATCTGGATTTCTCACTATTAGAAAACTCATTGTCGCCGCATTTTCAAATTGGTAATAATTTTATTGTTGGTAAAAATGATTATAATTAGAGTATTGGTAATCCATTATAACTTTATATATATATACTATTATTTATCAAAGAAAGACGTTATACTAAGGCTCACTTTTACCACCTCCTGATAAATTTATCCGATAGATAAATCCAGTTCTTAGCCAATGAGAGCGCTTAAAACCGCCGTAACCATGGCAACTATCCTCTAGATAGTTTATCAGGAGGATGGTAAAAGTGGGCCTAAGTGATATTTTTATATTCATGTCCTTATGAAGGAGTATAATAATAATATATAATAGAGAATATATATTTAGTATAAAGTCTTTCTTTGATAAATAATATATACAGGGTGATTTATAACATACAGAGCAGACTAAAGGGGTAGGTACTAGAGGTAAAACTGAAGGGATTGTCTTAATAATGGTTTGTTAAAAACTTAATAGTTACATAGATATCGCATGTTAATTTTTTAAATAATTTAACGTCCATTTTTGAGAATCGCTGATATTCAGTAAAGAATAATTAAAGTACTTGTCCGCTGCTAAGTAACCAAATCAACTGGATTGGCGGTAATAAAAAAATGGTATCAGCGGTTCTCAATAAACAAACAACACCGTTTGAGCGTTTTAACAAATTTTTAAATAGCCGTAACTGCTATATTACAAAGATTTTATTATTTTTGTTAATTATGCATTGTTTAAGTAACCCCAAAATATTCGCAGTTTGAATCTAAACGAAGTGTAATACCGTATATGATAAGATATGCTCGGCTATTAATTCAACTTTATCCTTCTATATCTTTGTGATTATTAAGTTGTGGTCAAAACATTATTAAGAAAATATCTTCAATTTGGCTCCCAGTACTTACCCTTTTAGTCTGCTCCGTATGTTATAAATCACCCTGTATAAAAATGATTATTGCACACAGAAATTAGATCAATGTTGACAATTGACAAACAATTGTCTAAACATGAGCTTATGTTAAAAAATAAAAAGTATACTTAGACAATTTAAATAAGAGTACCTTTTTTATATAAAATTGAATGCTCTTTGTGATTTGTAGCTCTTATTGGTCGTACCTCGACAGCCAAGAAACTTATGATTTGATTTATCAAACGAGCAGTGTGTATCTAGCGCTCTCTACAATAACGAAACAAGTTTCAAATTCGTATTTCTTATGCTCGAAAACATAAAACTACCAAATTTTGTGTTAATAGTACAAAAAACTTCAAAAATTATCAAGAAATTTCGAAATAAGAATTTAACTTTCAACACCCTGTGCCTCGAAACCACCGACATTTGTATAAGAGATATTAAGTTAAATCATCATATTTTGGTGTGTAGTATTTCCGGTATTCGGATTTCCCATTCTTTCTGACTCACCCTGTATGAATGCGGTAATCATAGTTACAACGTAGTTTTGTATGCGCTTGTACGGTCCCACATAAAATGCAACATAGCTTAAGAGTACAGGCATTGGGTAGTTTTGCAAAGGAAACGTTTTGTTTGGAAAAAGGTGACGACGTCCTTATGATAACTCTGAGTTTTTGGCCGTTTTGAGAGACGCACGGCTAAACCTGAATGTTTCTGGTTTTAGGTCTATCGTGTTAGTTCCACTTTTCGTTCAATAAAAATATACAACAATCATAACAATAACAATTAAAACTAGTACTAACACTAGACCTAGAACTAGAATCATTTGGGTTTAGCCGTCTTGAGAGAGGTGCGGCTAAACCCAAATGATTCTAGTTCTAGGTCTAGTGTTAGTTCTAGTTTCAGTACAATAAAAATATAGAATATAGTGATATCTTATATTAATTAGCGCTACGTACCACTGTCACTAGAACTAACATAAGACCTACAACCAAAAACATTTAGACATGTTGCATTTTATGTTTCCATGAAAATATATTTTTGTATATTGCATTTTAAGTGAAATTCACTGTATACATTTTATTTTATTTTTTTAAATTTTCTTGTTATTCAAGTATCTTTCGAAAATATGTAAATAGGGGTCACCATAAGCGAAACAAGTTCCCCTCGACTCGACGACACCCGACAAATGCAAATGGCAATGGTAAAAACGATTTCTGCCATTCGCATCGGCAGCGGTAAGAAGAATCGTGGACGTCGGTAAGCAACCGGGGCACGTACCGGAGGTATAGGACCCCCCTTCGACATCCCCAGAGAGGTGACATGTCTCTCCGCGGGGGGCTCCTGCGGCACAAATTGATAGCGTTCACTGATCACAGCTGTCATCACAATTATAAAACGCGTACTCGGTGACGCTATACGACCTTTTAACATACCTTTAATACAATTTCTTTTTGATTCACAAAATGCTGCAAGTATTTAATATTGTTTTTCCAATCAACGAGTTGGTAAAAGCGACAGAAGGCTACTAAGCAGCTGGTTTTCCTATCGCTAAAGGTTGCAGGCTCGCCGATTCGCAAACTATCCCAATTATTGAGTATGACTTTGCAGTTTCTGGGATGCCCTCGTCATTAAGACCTATGGGAGACTACTTAAAGCGGAGACAAGGTATCATCTGGGTGTCGTTCCAAGTTAAAATTGGTTATTTTTCTTAAATTATTAAGTAAAAAGCGTATTCTTTAAACTGAATAGAAAATAAATTCACAGCAAGAAAGTTTCCATTTCAATTTGTGGACAAGTAGCAAAAAAGTTTCGGGATCCGGATCCTCTCGCTTCGATTTCTCCTTGTCCTCGCTCCTTGTTCTTCTCGCTAGCTTGAACAATGCCGAAACGTAACGATATACTTAGTTAAAATACCTGGTTCGTAGCGGGCTCGCAGAAGGCATTCGAAGGCGCGAACAATGCCCATAACTTCATTTCTTGACGGCGCGTTCCTCAAATTTATCAAACGCGTACCGCCATTAGTCACGTGCACGGTTCATTCTGAGTGGATTTTGCGAAAACGCACTCAAAAATTGATCGGATCCCATTAGGTGCCGAGACCCTAAACTCGTCGAGCTGTGGGAAAACCGACAATGTTGTTATGCGTGAGAAATGGCGCGACATCCGTGTTTAACTGTTACCACTGTATTCTGGGGCTTTAAAGATTGCGGTGTGTGAACAAACGGGGTTTTATCCAATTTGTTCGTCGGTAAACCTTTACAGTTAAATGTGGTTAACATCGATTTTGATGTATTTATTGAGTATTATTGACACATTAATAAAAAATCATTACGCTAAAAAAATAAATAAAACATCAACTATTTTATTTTATCTCTAATTATTTCTCAGTAATCATTTCTTAAACTAAAACTTTTCTTTTTCTCGTAACTTATTTACAAGTTTTTTTAAATTTTAATCAAGATATGTATTAAATGCCCCAGCTTATGTATAAGTAAGGTGTAGATACATCAGAACTAGACCTTGAGACGTACATTCCTTTCTTAGGATCGATTAATTGTAAATCCTAACGAAGTAATCCATAAAAACATCATCCTCGGTGTATATACGAAGGAAATGGTCATTTCTTAACCGCGTTTAATTAAAACATCAATAATTGTATTAGCAAACTCCTTTTTTTAAATTGTCATTATACGTACAATATAAATCAAAGTAAATCCCTTTAAACCATTTAATTGGTGTGGAATTTTTACTGCGTCGTTACTAATCTCTCTCTAGAGCAGCCTAATTAAAATAGATGGTCGAACCTATGGCGACCCTTTTGGTTCTACCCCAACGTCACTTTCGTGGAATTAAAATCAATTAAAATTATATGTTCATTTTGATACATTATTTTTGGTTTCTTAGTGTGTTTCAAAATAAGTCTAGAAACGACTTCGATTTTTCAAATCGTTGAATAATTTTGATTGGGAATACCAAATTTGGTTTCCTCATTTTTATAAATAATTTTTAAATGTTAACCTAAATAATTTAATACATTCATCGGAGAGCGCGTATTGGAGCAAGATAGTGCTAATGTAAAACTAGAATTAACACTAGACCGAGAACTAGAAACATGCGGATTTAGCCACACGTCTCTCAAGACGGCTAAACCCGAATGCTTCTAGTTCTAGGTCTTGTATTAGTTCTAATAATACTGTTAGTTCTAGGTTTTATGGTAGTTTTAGTGATAGTGCTAAAAAAATTAGAACTAACACTAGACCTAGATTTAAAAACATTCGGATTTAACCGCACGTCTCTCAAGACGGCTAAATCCAAATGATTCTAGTTCTAGGTCTTGTATTAGTTCTAACAATAGTGCTAGTGTAAAACTAGAACTAACACTAGACCGAGAACTAGAAACATTCGGATTTAGCCACACATCTCTCAAGACGGCTAAACCCGAATGCTTCTAGTTCTAGGTCTTGTGTTAGTTCTAGTGATAGTGCTAGTGTAAAACTAGAAGATAGTGCTAGTTTTAGTTCCATAAAAATATGTAACATAGAGATATCTAGTGCTAACTAGTGCTATCTAGTACTGTCACTAGAAATAACACTAGACTTAGAACTAAATTTGGTTTCCTCATTTTTATATAAATAATTTTTAAATGTTAACCTAAATAATTTAATACATTATAGAATTTTTATTGCTTCGTCACTAATCTTTCTCTAATCTAAAGCAGTCTAATTAAAAAAAATGGTCGAACCTAATTGAACCTACGGCGACCCTTTCGGTTCGACCCCAATAACATCACATCGGAGGGCTCGTATTGGAGCAAGATAGTGCTTATGTAAAACTAGAATTAACACTAGACCGAGAACTAGAAACATTGTATCAGTTCTAATGATAGTACTAGTGTAAAACTAGAACTAACACTAGACTTCACTAGTCTTCAGACGCACGGCTAAACCCAGAACTTTCTAGTTCTAGGTCTAGTGTTAGTTCTAGTTTTAGTTCCATAAAAATATGTAACATGGTGCTATCTAGTGCTATCTAGCACTGTCACTAGAAGTAACACTAGACATAAAACTAGAAAGATTTGTGTTTAGCTGCACGTCTCTCAAGACGGCTAAATCCAAATGATTCTAGTTCTAGGTCTTGTATTAGTTCTAACAATAGTGCTAGTGTAAAACTAGAAGATAGTGCTAGTTTTAGTTCCATAAAAATATATAACATAGTGATATCTAGTGCTATCTAGTACTGTCACTAGAAGTAACAGTAGACTTAGAACTAAATTTGGTTTCCTCATTTTTATAAATAATTTTTAAATGTTAACCTAAATAATTTAATACATTATAGAATTTTTATTGCTTCGTCACTAATCTTTCTCTAAAGCAGCCTAATTAAAATAGATGGTCGAACCTAATTGAACCTACGGCGACCCTTTTGGTTCGACCCCAACAACATCACATCGTAGGGCGCGTATTGGAGCAATTAAAATGAGTTAAAATATTAATAACCAAGTCTTGAAGAAAAAAAAAACTGATTGTGAAGTGGTGGGGGCGATCTGTTCATTAGTTTTTGTGGCCGTCGAAGAAGAGGTACGCGACGTTCGGAGGGCACTCTTAAGAAACCAATCAAAACCCGATCAGCAATTTCCTATACGCGCCCGGTATAATCAAAACAAAGGCAACCATTAATTACAAACTCGAGGGGCCGTGAACGAACCCACGAAGAAGAGAATCCCGAACCCGGTCCTGCGCGTTCCCCACCTTACAAAGTAATTAAACAACTCATTAAGAATCCTACAATCAAAATTTTACGTCGCCAAACAAAATTTAAAAGGATATATTTTATAATTTTTTTTTTATTTTCAGGTAAGCAACACTTTCCTATCATCTCCACATAAATATGTAAGTTATTTCTTTTCTAAATTCGAGTTAATTAACCGGACAAAGCGAGAGAATTTCTTTTTTTTTTTCATTTCGAATCTGGAATAGTAAAAAGAGTTGTTTTCACAAGCTCGTTCCAAGAAACTAAGAAAGAAACTCCTCTCCTAACATACGACGTTCTTCGAGTAACCAAATCCGGTGTTCGCGAGTTGTGGTGATAAATCGCGTTTCTTCGGTCGAAGTAGGTGTTGAGAGAGCGGGTCCCCCTTATTTACTCCGGCGATAATTACGCGAGGCCCCCGAGTACGTGGACACATTTCACCCCCGATTCTCGCGCGGAATCCGCCCGCTCCGGGCGCGCGGAAATTAACAGCTCCACAACGGTAATAAGATATTGCGAACAGAGCGCGCGGGTCGACGTCGTCGTCGTCGTCGCAAAAACGACCAAGACGGAGGAAAGAGAGCCCCGATGAACGAGGAGGAGGAGGAGGAGGAGAAGAGGGACAAAAAGAGCGCACCGCCGCCGCCGAAGTTGCGCGGGAACGTTTGTTTCTGAAACCGGCCCTCGTCGGAATTTAGCGTTTCGCGCTGTCGAAAATGGGCTCTGGTTTCGGGCTCCGCGCAACTCCGCCGATTGGAATTTGAAGAGATTTATAACTGACCTTTTCGCCGTTTACCACGTCCTGTCAACGGACAATTTTAACGTGAAAATCTTACATGGAAACTCTTCAAAAAAAAAAACTAAACAAAAATTTCTACTTGGGTTTAAGAATTTTTTTTCTTTGGTTGCTTATAAAAACAAAGAAACCAAATTTAATTTAATTTATAGCTTCAAATTTAAATATTTCTTACCAATTCCAAGTTTTTCGACGTAAGGTTCCTGGAGTGCTACTTCTGTGTTTAGGTGGTGATATTATCCTAATGTAAGGTTCGTCCTTGGTAATTAATTTTTCCTAGAAACAAAGAAAGTATCTACAGTGTGACAGAAATGCCTGGAAAAATGTCTTATATACAGGGTGTCTCAGCGAGATCGGTCATTAGACGTTTCTGGGGTTCTGGCCAAACAAAAAATTTGAGAATGCAGACTTAAGTATTATCAATTACGTTCTCTTCATCTAAAATATTTTCAGATTTCTAGCACTTCCGGTTATACCGGAAGTCGCCACCTACTTTATTTTTTTAAATGGAACACCCTGTATATTTTTACATATTTGGATTTGTCTGTTTTGAAGGTTTATAAATAACTTTACTTTTTGCAATTTGAACCAGCAATTCTCGAGTTATTCGAATTTTTCTAGAAAAATTTGCTCCAGCGGACATTTGTTCAAAAAATCATAGAACACTCAATTTTTGAGATATCAATTTAGGATTCAGAACATGCTTAAACAACATGATGGAGTATGTTTTGGTGCCGAGAACGGCTGTCTAGATCGTTTGGTCACTTTACTATGATACGTTAACTTTTCGAAATTTGGAAGCACCATAACTTCATTTTTTTAAATGGCACCCCCCATATTTTATTACTTAGTCGTCTTCGGCGTCTCATTTTACATCTTTTATATTCCATATGTCCTATGCCTAACATTAATAGTTTGAGAAATAATTAGGGTTTTTTGAAAAATGCTCACATATCATATGGATATTAACCTAGTGTGCCATGGAAAACAAATGTTTAATGACTTATTGATAAACGTCAAAGTCTAATTTAGGTTGTTTGATGCTTGTGAGTCTAAAACCAGTTAAAATGGATATTAATAACGTAAATAATGTTTATACAAATGAAGAAATCCATAATTTATTTTTTGTGCACGAAAAGTGCGACAAAGTTCTTAGTAGAACTTGCAGAATGTTTAATGAAAATTATCCACATTTATCTCCGATGACAAAAGGTAAATTTAGAGGAATAGAAGCAAATTTTTTGCATTTTGGACGAATTAATCACGTGTTAAACTGACCAAAAAATGTAGTAGATAATGCAACGGAAGAGGTGAATACCTTGGCTTATTTCGAGCCCAGTCCCAACACCTCAATTCGAGCTGCCAAAGAAGATCTGGGAATCATACTACGAACTTTGTCGCGCTTTTCATGCAAAAAAAATAAATTAAGAATTTCTTGATTTGTGTAAATATTACTTTCGTTATTGTTATCGATTTTAACTCGTTTCAGTACTAATATTAAGGGACATAACAGATAATTATTAGCTCACATGCATCAAGTGACGTAAACAAGTGAGTCTTTGACAAGAACTCATTGAGAAGGCTTGTTTTTCATGGCACACTAGGCTAAATATCCATATATGTGTGCATTTTTGAAAAAACCCTAATTATCTCCCAAACTATTAATATTAGGTATGGGCTATATGCGATATAAAAGATGTAGAATGAGACACCGAGGACGACTAAAAAATAAAATATGGGGGGTGCCATTTAAAAAAATGAAGTTATGGTACTTCCAAATGTTGAAAAGTTAACGTGCCATAGTAAGATGATCAAACGTTCTAGGCCGCAGTTCTCGGCACCAAAACATACTCCATCATGTTGCTTAAGCATGTTCTCAATCCTAAATTGATATCCCACAAATTGAGTGTTTTCTGATTTTTTGAACAAATGTCTGCTGGAGCAGATTTTTCTAGAAAAATTCGAATAACTCGAGAACGACCGAATCAAATTGCAAAAAGTAAAGTTATTTATAAACCTTGAAAACAGACAAATCCAAATATGTAAAAATATACAGGGTGTTCCATTTAAAAAAATAAAGTTGGTGGCGACTTCCGGTATAACCGGAAGTGCAAGAAATCTGAAAATATTTTAGACGAAGAGATCGTAATTGATAATACTTAAGTCTGAATTCTCAAATTTTTATTTTCGCCAGAACCCCAGAAACGTCTAATGACCGGTCTCGCTGAGACACCCTGTATATATTGGCTATGATGCATATTATAATAAGGTAGTATGACCAAAAAATCGTGTGCTTTCAATAACAGATGCAAAACTTAAGGGGAAGCACTGAATCTGGATGGCTCAATGCCAATCTGGGAAGAATTAGAAATGAATTCCAGATTCAGAAGAGATCATAACTCATCACAGCTCGCAGATTGGTTATTAGAGTGGCACATCTGAGGAAAATTATGTTCCTCTTATGATGCGATAGACAAGATACACGACTTACTTTATAACTTGCTCTTACAGGTTTACGAGAGAAGAGGGAAACTATATATATATATATCGACCACAACAATATACAGTGTGTGTCCAGATTTCGATGCTCACCATTGTCGTCTAACTGCTCGTCTAACGGCATTGTTAACTTTGTAGTTCGATTGTTTCTGTTCGAAGCTTCCACCAGATTTCTGATAATTCTGTTGAAAATTGCAAAAATCCAATATGGATCCATAAGAAAAACAAAAGTCGTGCTAATAACTTGAAAACAAATGAATATCGATAGTTTCTGTTCAGACCAAAAAGCTAGTCTTAAAAAAGTATCTTAACAATGTAAAAGTTTAAAAGCAGTTGCATTAGGCGATTTATTAAAACAAATAAANTCGATAGTTTCTGTTCAGACCAAAAAGCTAGTCTTAAAAAAGTATCTTAACAATGTAAAAGTTTAAAAGCAGTTGCATTAGGCGATTTATTAGAAAAAATTAAAATCGGCAAATTTCAGTTTTTTCAAAATATCTCAAAAACGAAAAAAGTCAGGATGAATTTGAAATATGATTTGTTGCGAGCATTGAATTCTGCGAAACATTCCCCATTTAACCGTTGCTCTATCTCTTATACTATCCGATATACCAATGGTGAGCATCGAAATCTGGACACACTGTACATATTGTTGTGATCGATCCGAGATTTCATCCGTTCTTCCTGTTGGTTCCCCCTATAAAGAGGTATGTCGATGTATCATGAAGGAACTTCTGGAATGCCAATTATAGAGCAAAATGCAGAAAATAGACCAAGAAAACATTACTAGAGAGTGTTGAGCAAATGAATCTTTCCTGCAAATCTATATTTTTGGACGTCTCAATGGAAGGTTTATTAATGCCATTGGACCTCAATCATTTAGTAGAGACTGATAATTGAAGTCATATAGAGCAAAAGACCAAAGCAGCTATGGATAGGTACTGTATCTAATAGATACAGTAACAAACAAGTTATATGAATGTTGGCATAATGATGTATGGAGGGAGTCGAAGTATCATGAAGGTTCTTTTTCGAGATACTGAAAAGCGGAGTCTTGATACAATGTGCACAAGAACCCTTCATAGCAAGTGTTCAGAAATTCCCAACACGGAAGACGATCATAGTTGTACTTCAAGATGATGAACACTGTGTATGCGTGAAGAGTAAAAGACGAAGAAGAACTTCTGGAATGCCAATTATAGAGAAAATATGCAGAAGATAGACCAAGAAAACATTACTAGAGAGTGTTGAGCAAATGAATCTTTCCTGCAAATCTATATTTTTGGACGTCTCAATGGAAGATTTATTAATGCCATTGGACCTCAATCATTTAGTAGAGACTGATAATTGAAGTCATATAGAGCAAAAGACCAAAGCAGCTATGGATAGGTACTGTATCTAATAGATACAGTAACAAACAAGTTATATGAATGTTGGCATAATGATGNACTACTATATTTGGATTATTTCCCAATGAAAAAGAAAGAGTGAAATTGCCAATAACGTTCTCGAGTGAGGTTATCCAGTTTACGAGGTTTCTTTGCAATTTATGAAACACGTAAAATTTTTCGCAAATTCAATGTCATAAAAAAATAACAATGCTATTCTATCAATGTCATATAAAAATATTAAGAAGTTGAATGTAGGGCATTCAACTTCCACACAGTTAGTTGATTACATATTTTTTTTATTATTACTATTTTAATTAGTAATTTCCAAGTAACGATTTCGGTTAATAATAATTAGGTAAGCAACGCGGTCGAGGTGGTCGCGTACATAGAAAACATCACGTTCAATAGACGCCACGATAAATATGTATGACTTCAGACAATAACCTGGAGATCCATTAATAACCGGCGAACGTCAAGGAGAAAGGGTGTCGATGAAAGCGGCGGTTACATAACCGGCGGTCGGTCTTCTTGGAAACTGGGTTCGGCGGCAGCGCATCGTTTCAAAGCACTTTGAACTCGGTTTTGGAGATAGGTTAGAAAGGGCGCCGATTGTGTAACTTGTATGCAAATTTGTTCACTTCCTCCTCGTACGCAACGGAAACTTTTAAAATAGATTTTAAAATAACCCTTAGAAAAGGAAATTTAGACGAGAAGAAAAAGCGTTGTGTGGAGAGTTGTATCGAAAAGGTCCAAGGTATTTCTTTGCTACCCTATAATTATTATAACAGCTTTAACCTTGGTCAGAGGCCCGTAAAATCGTTGCCGGGCTTGGTGTTCTACGAACGACTATATATGAAAAAAGCAAAGAGATGCAGCGAGGAGGGGGCCCCACGTAGACTAAGAAAAAATAATAATACCCGCGCCCGAACACAGGGACACCAATTTTTGGGGCCGGTAATTGTACGGCTGCCTCGAGAAAATTAGAAAAATCCCCTCGAACTACTATCCCGTCACGCGAGAACTTCCCCGAAAAAAATTAACCGTCTACAAATGTTCAGATTTTCGGGGCTATTATCTTGCGAATATTCTTGAGATTCCGATTGAAAAGAGACAAAACAAAAAAAATTAAATATTGAAAATTTCGATTGAAACAAGTTTTAATAGTAAACGTGAACTCTTGTTGGTTTCGATTTTGGTCTTGGTGTACAAGTTGCCCTCGCCTCTTTAATTAAAAAAGCTTAATCTGGGAATATTATCGCATCGGCTCATTTAATAACTTTTATGCGGCAGTAATTACGCGATAAATTTGTTAAAAACGAAATCTTAATTATCATCTGGTCCAAAAAGTAAATTAGCGCCGGGTTCGTTTTGGGGGAGAGGGCGGGG